CCCGGCCCGGCCGGGGTGTGCTGTAAAATGCGGAATTATGTAAGATTTACTTAAAGAAAGGATGTTTCTCGATCTTTGTACGATTTCAAGTCTAAGCAACAATCAGCGTGATTTAAGCCGCGGAATATCCGCTAACGAGCAAAGTGTAAGTGACGCCCAGGTGTTACAAAGCAAATCACTGGTAGGTAGAATTGCCTTGATAAGGTTTAGGGCTGGACATGCTTCAGTGATCCGAGGCCTAGGGGAGGTTAATAAAAGGATGTAGCACTGATAGTGGACTCAAAGGATGCAGAATTTATGCACTGCAAGGACGGCCTGAGACCGAGTCAGGGAGGTTTAGATTGAGATCAGGAAAAGGTTCCTCAGCCAGAGGGTGGTGGGGCGCTGGAATGGGCTCATGGCAGTGGTAACAGCACCAAGCCTGACAGAGCTCAAGGAGCATTTGCACAACACTTTCAGACTCACGGTGTGACCCCTGGGGATGCTCCTGTACAGGGCTAGGTGTTGGACTCAATGATCCTAGTGGGTCCTTTTCAGCCCAGCATATTCTAGGATTTTATGACATTTGGCAGAACTCCCCAGATAAGGAAGAAGCTCATAAAGCCAAGATAGCAACTGTGCTCATTCAGCTCTGACTGGGTAGAATGTAATTCTGGCAGGGGCAGATTGTGACCACTGACCCAAGAAACTCACTGACCCAAAAGAACAGATAGCCTGGGCATCCAGACTAATGAGCACGGGAAGTGAGGATATCATTGACCAAAAGAAGATAGAATGGTAATTAATAAGAGAACTAGTGAATTTGTAACAAATGAACATTAATGCCTAGTGCTCAAAATACTGAAAAATTTTGGTAGTCATGCTGGCTTTGTGGATGTGCAAAGCCATAAATAAATCAAATCCTTCCACTCCATACATGGATTGGCCTCTTGCAGACCAAGTGAAAGAACCTGTTTTGGGACAACAGGGGGAGTGGGACCAGGACCAGCTCCCTTGCTTCTTAAGTCACCTACAGGCTCTGATAGGAGCTGCCAACCACAGCCCAGTGGCCACCAAAATCACATTTTAAGCCACTGCTGTTTCAGCAGGACAGTCTTGCTGTCACCTGTGGGTCACAGATGGCCACACTCTGCAGAAAAAGCAGTGGCAGAAGCCCCAGCCCTGTGTCAGTCACACCCAAGATGGTTAACAATGTTTTGAAGATCCTGCAAAAGTCTCTCCAGTGTTTTCCTTTTTGTGCACACAATGTTAATTTAGGGTTAAAAGTGAGCAAAACTCCTCCTTGTGTCAGAAGAGGGAAATCAGAGTCATTCTAATCCAACTGACCTTAATAACCACAACACACACAAAATGCTGTCATCTCTGCATGCTACTCTATAGCTCATTGTATATATACTATATACAGTATATACAAGAGTATATATAGTATATAATCAGTATACATTATATTATATACATATATACAGAAGGAGTATACTGTATATTGCCTATAGCCTCAAAACTGTATATAATGTGTTGACATTAAAAGCACCATAATATTTAGAATTTTGATCTCAATATTGTCAGGTTACACATTAGGAACAGAAAAAAAGCTGCACAAACACAAAACCAGAAACTTTGGGGTGTTCCAAAGCAATGCTAACCATTTTGATGTTTTTTTGAATTTGAATTTTTACTTACCAGGAATACTTCACCTCTACACCTTGCTCAAGATACATATATTACCCACAAGACTTCAAAAAATAAAATACCATGAATAAAAATCTCTTTATGAAAACAATTTTAAACTGACAAGTGTCTGAATATTAGTTTGCATTAAGTTAAATAATTACTTGAACAATATTTTTGAGGCTGTTGCAAATTTAGACATTCAAGTACATCTTTTGCAAAACTGTGGAGGTTGATACATGCAAAATAAACAGGTATTAGACACACTACCAAAGCCAAGCTTTAAAGATTAGGAATCAGGTTATCCCAGTGCAAAAGATCACAGATGTGATGCTGCAATCTTTAAGAATGCAGTCACACAGTTTTGTATCTTATTCAACTCAAGAGATTTATTTCAACATCTTTTTGAAGCCACATGCCTTGTTTACTGTAATTATTGAGCACACTTTGAAGTCAGAAAACACTGAAGCACAAAGGAAAGCTCACAGTTCTCCATCCCTTGGTCTTTGGGACTGCAAGTCTTTCTTGATTCGTTTTCTTTTGATTTGAAGCTTCTGGCCTCTCTGCAAGGCAGGACACAGTGGCAGACACTGGTTTTATGATGGGGTTTATGTGTTTAGAACATGTGATCAACAGATTTGAAGTAGCAGACAGAAGTTATAAAATCTCTGAAAAAAGATTACAGCAGGCAACAAGCTCCAAATTTTCCACAAGTGGTCTTGCAGGCCTTGGCCTATTTATTAAACATGGCTGCTTTAATATTTAAGTGCTTGGTCAAAGGTAAGTAATATTGAACAGGCAGAACAGGTGCCTTAGCACCTGTTCACATTTCATATACAAGTTATTAACTGATTTTTCATACAGAATTTTCCATAAAACTTATCAACATATTATCCAAATCCTTTGAACAACGTGGGAAGGTTATGGTGTGTTCCCTTACTTTACAAGGAAGAAGTGGAAAGGTTATGGTAAAAGTTCCGTGAAATGTGGGAGCTTAATTCCAGGTAAGAGAATATTTTATCCCTGTCCCTTGCTAAATGCTGTGTGTTGTTTTCAATTACATCTATCCACAGCAATATTCCAAAAGCAAACAAAGAAACTGGGATATTCTGCACTTTTTCAGGTTAGATCCCAAGTGTGCAAGATGGGCACTTAGCAAACAAACCTGTGCGAAGTTTGGTGTAAGACTTTGGGACAGAGGAAAAGAAAAGAGTCTATTTTTTCAGGACAATTAATCTTCAACCCTGACTATGCAACATTGAGGAATTTTCACAAAAAAAATGAAGAAGTCCATCAGCAGTAACATTGCCCCATGCTGTCACAACTCAACTGCATGGAACTTCCCTTTGAATACTCAGTACCATTAAAAATAAAAAGGTCAGCATCAAACAGAGCAAAACTGAGCTCCAGCGCTCCAGAACAATTCAGCACCACTCTGAGACTCTGGAGTACAAGGCTCCAGGCCCAGTTTCTGCTGCATTCGAATGGGTTTGGGGTTTTCCCCCCACATTGTAAATATTGCTGAGATTTATTTTCCATATGATTCAATTAAAGCCATTTTAATTCAGTTCTAAGATATCTGTTCCACAAATCTGTAGGGCTGCTAGATCTACAAATGTCAATGTTGAACAAAGCAATCTGAGGTTGAACTGAAGGCAGTTTTAGTGTAGTTAAAAAGTAATTCATAAAAAATCTGTAACTTAGTTTGCTGGGCTAGTCTCTGACATGAAAGGTACAGAGATTTCTTCCCGGAACCAACAGCACTCGAGGGAGGATGTGGAATTTTGAGAGATTCCCTCAGTGCAGCCAGACTGCTAGACCTTCAAGGAGAAGGAGAAAAGGCAGCAAATAAAAGTAAATGTCTTCAAATATAAGAGTTTAGGCTTCTTCTGGTTATAACGCATTTCTTAAATTCTATATCTCTGTCACTTGTTTAATTTTACTTCAATACAATACTGCAGCATCTTAAAAAAAAAAAAAAAAAGGAATTCAAAGTAACACCCATGCACCACTGACACGACCCAGCAGCACTTACGGGAGCGAACTCATTTGCGCACCACAAAAGCGAGTTTACTAAAGAAGCGGAGCCGTACTTGTCTTTGCCGGGCTGTCACTGCTGCCGGGCTTGGACACCAATCCCACCAGGGATGCGGACTTCAGGGCGCTGCCATAGCCCAGCGCCAAGTTTTCCGAGGCTTTCCTGGCCAGAGACAAGATGGGAGCAGACCACCGCGCTTCCTCCGGTTTCGCCTTCTCCTCGTTCCTCAACTCGGCCGCGTCAGGGAGCTGTTTTTTGTCAATAATCTCAAAGTCTTCCTCCTTTCCCGCGACGGGCGCGGCGCGGGGCTCCCCGGCAGCCATCTTGGACGGCTCACATGACCGCGGCTCGGGAGCCGCCCCCACCCCGAGTGAGGGCCTGGGCAGGGACCGGGGGCCGGGAAGGGACCGGGAACCAGGGCAGGGACCGGGAACCGGGTCAGGTTGTGGCAAGTGGGGCACGTCCCGCAGGCAGCGTGAAGCACCTGCACACAGAGGCAGGCCTGGCCAGGACAGAACACTTCGCTTGGTATTCAGAGTTTAACTCCGGGCGTGGAAGATGAGGAAAGAGTTCACCTTTAAACAAGTTAGGAAAGGAACAAAAAGTATAGGTTTTTACTGCTATCTGTGTCCCCAGACATAGTTTTCAATAAAAAAATTAATGTGTTTTGACGTCTCACATTTGCACAGTTCAGTTGTGACAGCTTAACGAGATCTCTATTACTCTGCCTGTGAATCAAGTCGCTGTGATTTGAAGTGGAGGATTGGTATGACAGGTGCACTGCTGTGAAAAGGAATTGTCCTCGTCACTGACGGGAAAACAACTACTCAGTAAAGCCACTTAATTAATGTGTATGGGCTGGGTTGGGTAGAAAGATGTATCACGAAGGGGAACTGAAATTACCCTACTATGAAAATTTGATCTTGCTGGGTGCCTCAAATATTGATGTAGCCGGCTGATGTATGGTTTGTTAACTGTTTTTCCATGGAGCAGCTGCGTGTGCTTGAGATATGTCACTCGTTTAGTCACGAGGTAGTGGATGCTGCATATGAGCTTTTTATGCTACACAGAGGAAACTCTTTTGGGGTTTTTTTTTTTTTTTTTTTTTTTTTTTGTTTGTTTTTTTTTTTTTTTTTTTTTTTTAAGAAATAAGAGGAGGCTAGAATAGGAGAGTTGAAGGTCAATTTAGTCTTGCAGCAATATAAATCTTCAGAGTTATATATATTTTTTTTTCCTAATATAAGCTACTTTATGATTGATTCTGTCTTCTTGGCTTCTTCGACACCGAAAATTTAACAACTTGTGTTACACAAAGCACACGGAAGCTCTTGTATTTTTGTTGAGGATTCAGAGATCAGCAGCCTCTTATTCACCCATGATTCAGATGAGCTAAGTATAGGCTTTAAGCTACTTTTGCTAAAGGCTGCTAGAGTTAAGTTCTGCTCCATCTTGTGGACTCCGGCAGTATTGGGCTGTTCGTAAGGAAGTAGCTCATCTCTGTATGTTGCTGTCTTGCAGTTGAGTATATGAATATACCTCTTGACAGGAGTGAGACTTGATAGTGATTTTCTGCCTTTCATTAACTACCCAGTATTAGAGTAAGGGTGGAAAAGGTAGTCTTGAATAGAAGCAGAATTCTAAGCATTAAAATAATATTTTTTCCCAATGCAGCTGAAGAATAGGGCGTAAAAGTTTTGTTACTGGGAACATAAGAGTTAACCAAGGCTCCTCTTTACCTCATTATGTTGCTCCCTTAAGATAAGGATGCCTCAGACACCTCTTTACAGCGTCACAATGAGCTATTTTGTAAAAATATTAAGTGAAGCTATCACATAGTTGTGATCATCTTTTCTTATGTTGCTATTAAAGAAACATTTGATAATTTTATTTCAAGTGTCTGATGAGGAAAATTTATACTGTGCATAATAAATGTGCTCAAACTTATGCTACACATGATTTAATTGTGCTTCACTTACTACTATTTGGTCAAAATTACTTAATCAGCCACTTATTACTTTAAATGCCCTCAGTCCTCACACTTTTTATTTTAAAGCAAGCAAGAAGTCTTGTGGCATTGTAAGGGAGCCCTAAGTCAAAGAGATTTGTTTTGTTTACAAAGTACAACTTCCTAAGGGGTCATTTGGGGCAGCCAAGGAGGGTGAAGTTAATACAGAATACAGCTTTAAGCACATTAAATAAAAAATGAAAAAACTCAAAACCAAAAGTGATGTAACTTTGGTTTCAGTTCACTGATTTATCAGGGAGGGGCACTGTGCATGAATAACTTTGATTACTTTTAGCTTGGAGATCGGGCTTGTTTTGGTCTCCTGCAGATGATGGTATTTCACCACTCTCTTCTTTTTGCAGACCACTGATCCAGCTCTTGCCACTCATGTGAAGATGAACAATATTTTCTTTTGAAAACCCATTTTGTAGCTAGTTTTTGTCTGCCACAAATGTCAGTTCTGTGTAATCACAAAAATACTTAAAATAGTTAGGGCTTATTGAAAAGTTAGAGGACTAAGTGACCCACCTACTACTTTTTGCTTTTCCTAACTGTAGAAATCAAAATGTTTCTAAAGAAAAAATACCATTATGAAGCTGAGATAAGTAGAGTTTTGTTCTTTTTTCATGCAAATCTTGCACAGCCTTGTTTGGTTTTACTGACCCCCTCTTCTTTGTCTTTTTATGTGAAAGAATAAAAACTCACTTTTGAAATACTTAAAAATAATTAATTCAAAGTATAGAAAAGATTATTCTGGAAGAATTCCTATTTTAATCAGGAAATTGGACATTTAATATAAATGTCTGGCTAGCAAAATGGAAGATAATTAATTTTACAATAGAGAAACTAAATTTTTATTCACTGCTGCTTAGCAAGACAGTTTCTTTGGCTAATTCCTATTTATCTCAGATTTATTGTTTTTTTGGGAGGTAATGTTTTAAGGAACATTAAACATTTTTTTGCCATTTAACATTTCAAGTTAATCTCATACTATAAATATTTTAAAACAGCAAAATGCCACCGTGTGCTAAAGGGTAAACTTTTGTGATTAGCTGTTATTTATACTTTGCATTCCTATAACTTTTTCAGTCAGCAAAAGAGATTATATTGCAAATGATCCAGTTGAGTTTTTGACCTTTAAAACGCTGGTGGGAATAAATACCAAGTGTAGCTGTAGTTGGGAATAACATAACCCCACCCAAATGGTGTGTTATGTGTTTGACAGCACATTATAGAAGTTTTACAGATACAAATCACAGTTTTACAATACAACTCACAGTATTTGCTGAGAATTCTGTGCTTGCTGAGTAGAGCTGCATCCACAAGTCCTGAGGCAGCCCTTTGTGTGAGCAGGACAAGAAACCGTGCATGGACAGAGTGCCGCCATCCAGAGTCACCTCCCAGTGACTGAGGCAGCATCAAAGAGCAGTAAAATGTTCCTTGTACTTTTCTCTCTCTGCCCATTCCTCAGGCCACTGAAACATTCTTCCCTCTGGCTACTGCAGTGAGTGAGTGACACTTGAGGAAAAATGGTATTAGGAAATGATAACGTTTCCTTTGGGACATCATCAAAAAAATCCCCAAACCCTCAACAATTTCCATGTCCGTGAATAAAATTCCTCCCTTACAACAGTGATTAAGTAATTAGAGAAGTTTTAGCTGTTGTTCTACCTCTAATGCAGCTAACTAGTTAAGATACTTTCCTATCACTTCTAATCAAAAAGTCATTTAATGAAAACCAAAATTCCAGCTGTGTCATTTCACCTGTAGTGAGTGAAATAATTTTTTTAAATTTCAAAGCCACAACTTTATGCTCCCTGACCCCACTGCACCAGCTAGTGCCATCCTTGCAGAAACTCATTGTAATAACAGAATCAGCTGTTTCAAACTTCTTTCTAAAATCATTAGAGGCCCTAAGAGGACATGGAAGCTGGAAGTGTGTGTTATTGTAGTAAATAAAGGAAAAGACAGTAAAATATGGAAGAGAAACTGTTGGCATGGAATCAAAAGAACAGCAGCTCACTCAGTGTAAGTTTAAATCAGACAGTTAAGACCAAACACCCACCAGATATATATTGAATGACAGTCTGAAGAAAATCCCGGACATTTATTGTTCTACTCTGAACTATTGCCTGATTTTTAGGAAAAAAAAAAAAAAAAAAGAAATCTTTCAATAGGAGTCTAGTGGACTAGAATGTGAAGTATCAGAAAGAAGGTAAAAAACAAACACACCGATTTTCGTTTAGTTATTTAACATTTGTTGGCCCTGTAGAAAGTGGCAGGGGCAGAACTTCCCAGCAGGTGACACTATGGCACCACTTTATTCAAGAGCAGCCCCCAGCGCCCAGCAAACACCACATCCCGGAAAATACCGGAGAGCTCCCATGAAAAAAAGAAAAGAACCCAGCTGAGATTCTCGTCTGAGCGAGCCCTGAAGCTGCTCTGTGACAGTGGCGGTGCTGACAGAGACCTCGGGGGGAAAGGAGGAGCTCCTTGGCTCCTTTCACAGGAGCTTAAATTTGGGACTGCTGGATGAGTGTCCAGGAACGCTCTCTAATGAAACCACGGAGTCCTACCTGTGCATGAATCTGGGTCATTTACCACTCCCAGAGTTTTGGGTGGGATAATGAAGTTATTAGTATTTTACAATGGTTGCTTTTGTGTTACAAGTTGTTACATAATGTTCCAAGGGCTTTATGAGTGGGAAGATTTGGATAAATGGTATCATTTGGTTAGGTCTACTGACAGACATCAGAGCACATCTCTTTGAATAACTTACTTAATTTCTAGACCTCAGGACCTGTGTGGTTTGGGTTACATTTTTCATCCTTTTCCTTTTCCTTTTCCTTTTCCTTTTCCTTTTCCTTTTCCTTTTCCTTTTCCTCTCCCTCTCCCTCTCCCTCTCCCTCTCCTTCCTACTATTTCATGCAGACAGTTTTGTATCAAGCACAGTTTAGAATATTTTATAAAAGTGCTATAAATTGACTCGACTGAGGGGCATAGGGTCAAAGGAATTATAAATGTGATTACAGGTTAAATCCTAGTAAGTTATGAATGCAGTATTTTTGAAATGTGCTGACGTTTTTGCTACTTAAAGCAATTTTCAACTTACACACATGAGAATACTTATATGTGACTTAATTAGCTGAAGAAATGGGCTCGTATCATTCTATTAGTGTAACAGAAATTATGCAAATTGCAGAAGAAAATGTTAGTTATTATATCAACCAATGAAATATATTATATACTCCCTAGACAAGTTTAGGAAAATACCTTTATGCTTTACAAAACCACTGTTAGTTATTTTAATCATCTGTTTCAAATGCAAATTTTGGAAGTTCATAAACATTTAATCCATTATCCATAAACTAAAAACCATTTAGGTGCTCGCATGCAGTTCTGGTGATGCTGCACTCGTGCACTTGAGGGCGCAGTGTGGCACCAACTGGCTCAGGTTTCTCCATAAAGAATTGAAGTTTTCTGTCGGAGTCCCCTCTGTAAGGTGCAGGACACAAAGAGTTGGAAAAATTGCAACATGTAGTGCTAGAAATGCAAATCCTGATTTTCTGCTACATTTAATGGTCTGAATTCTCTTCATTTTCTGAATTCTCTATGAGTGACACTGCATACTAATTTGTAAGATATTTAGAGAGCTTAAACCAAAAGTGAAGTCAATAAATCTTTTGCTAGATATTTCTTTGTTTTAAATAGAAACAATACCTTCTCTCTCCTCTTTCCTTTCCTTCCTCAGGGTGTTTTTCCTTGCAGAGCTGTAACTTAAATTTGTTATACCATACTAAGGGATAATTCCCAGACCCTTTGATTCAATAGGAATTTTTATAGGCTGAAAAAAAGGGGAAATATGTTTTACAGATGTACAAAAGCACTATAATTATTGACAGAATCAAACAGAAACTGGAGCTTTGGGTTAATGCAGGTGTGCAGCTCAGCTTCACCCTGTCTCTGATATCAGGACACATTATCACATTACAGGTTTGGCTAATTCCTCATCAGGCCTTTCCATGCTTGATGGAAGCTTGAGTAGGCAGGTTAGATGTTAACAGTGAGATTGCTTAGTGATCTCTGACCAGAAATCCTTTGAAATATCTTCACTGATCCATCTGAGGGAATTAATCTTATGCAAGCATGTCACATTTGGAAACAGAACTGAAAAACACAGGGCTCTAGTCACTCTAGTGGTTTAAACTAGTTTAAAGGGCCACTGGAGTGCTGCTGTTCCCCTTTTCCTGCAGCTGTGTGTTCGCATTTCCTTACACAGCCCAGCTCCTGACAAGTCAGTGAAAGCAGCAGTGAAAGCCAGTGAAAGCAGCAGGAAATGCAGGCTGGGGCTCTGTAGCACCCCAAGGCCATCTGCCTCCTTGTCACCTCTTGCCTCTGGCCAAACCCCTCCTCAGCTCCCTTGGCTATTGGCCATCTGAGCCATTTCAGTGCACTGAGTTGGCAGAAAACTAATACAACAAAAGTGAGTAATTGTTCTGCTGATTTAGTGCACTGAGAATGCTCATATTTTCCAAATTGTTATTGAGAGAATCACTTCCTATATGGATGTTCTGTTCAGCCTCCAGTGTTCTGTCTGCCCTGAGTTCTTCACATGGCAGAGGCTACACATTAGCAAAACAGATAACAGAGTTACTACTGGAGTGTTTTGTCTTAAATATCCTTTTTTTTAATCTTTTTTCAATCATAGGGACTCCTGGCATCATACCAGCATTGGGGGAAAAAAGGACCAGGAATAGAAGGAGGAATCATTGTTTTGGTAAAGCCCAAAAGCTTCAAGTATCCAATGGATCAGAGATTTTGTGATTAGGAGCTATATCTGAAGGAGCCATCTTTAGATAAAGAGGATAAAGAAAACAAGATATACCTATAGGCTGAAGGTTTGTATGTGCAACAGCAGAACCTCCCCAGAAACCACCAAATTATTATTTTTTAAATTCTTTCTGTGTAGATCCTCAGTTTATACTGTTCCTGACTCACACATTCACCTTGAATGCTGATGATATTGTCATATAGGCAGATGTATCTTCCTTCCTCTGAGAAACAGAGCAACCCAGGAATCATGACAGAATTTTCAGCTAGGAAGAGAAAAATATAAGGGTCTAAAAACACCAAATGTATTTAGTGTGCTACAGGTGGCATTGATAGAAGTGCATACCATGGCAAATTTCTGTTGACATGTCACCTGATATAATACAAGTATCTTTAAACTATCTCACAAAATCAAGAGAATTCCTTTTTCTTCAGCAGACCTCCTTCCTAAGGGTGAACATCAAAGATGAAAGTTACAGAATTGTGAAAGAGCCATAATTTATAATAACTTAGGTGGTAATGATGGCCTCAATGAAGTAAAGTGGAGATCATTACTCTTTTTAGGTGGAACTTTAAAAAAATTTCTAGCAGTGTGAAAAAAAGAGACCTCTAATTGAATTGCCACTTTGTGCAAGGGGGGAGGCAAAGACACCTCTGGTAGATGGCTGTGTTTTGTTAACAGAGAGTGGTAATTGGCATCCCACTGTGAAGATACAGTGTCTTGCCATCTTTCCTTTTCTCTTTGGTCTAATAATTTCAGAAGATTTTACACATTGCCTTGACTGCTGTTGGAAATTGTTTTAGTATTAGTAACTATTAGTATTAGAAATAGAAATAGTGTTAGTATTAGTAACTGTAGCAAAATTTTCAGGACATCTTTTAAAAAGCAAAAAAAAATCCCCAAACCCTCATCTGAAAATGGCTCTATGGACTGAAGTGAAGAAGGAAAAATGTGAAGCCCAAATGTAGTATAGAGGCTTAAGTTGAAGAGTTTTGTTTTTCTAATAAGCATAAACCAAACATGTTTGGTTTTTAAGTACAAGAAGAGCAATAAAAATATCCCATCATTCTCTGCCAATTATCACTTCAGGCTGTGAGCTTGTCAGAATTCATAAGCTCCCAGTGCAGTATCCAGCACTGCCAGGAAATGCTGGTATCGATTCCCCTGAGTCAATGCTTCCTAATGGTTGGGGGTGAGGCCACCCAAGGCACTGTCACGTAATCCTGAGGCCCTGCTTTGGTTTTTACCTAAGTCAGGGTTGCCATATGCACTCTGTAAACACAGAAGGAAAAAAAATCTTTTCTTTCCCTGTATTATATTGGTGGGTAACCACTGCTGCCTTGGAACTCTCACAACAGGCTGACTTTTCAGGTGCATCTCCAAAAGTTCCAGTTATGATGATCCTTGCCAGTCAGGCATCCCCTCCCAGGACCTCAGTGGTACTATTGGTGTTTTGTTTCTTAAAAATCCACCACCACTTTCAGGTAAAGGATAAAATCTGGAGATGCTGTGGAAGAAGGAAATGGGATTTAAAGGCAGTCCAATGTGTTGTGTTTTAGTTGCAAATTGAAAAGTCATTGAGTAGTTGCATGGTGTCAGAAAAATAGTTGGCTTTGATTTTTGGAGAAAATTTTATGTTTACATGTAAGTGGAAGAGCTGATTGATTAAAAAACTTCACAGTTCACTTTATTAAGTGATGCTGCTTTTTACTTATGAGAAGAAGCTTGATGGCCGAGATACTGCAGGGAAACTTAGGTATTTGTTCTATTCCCAGGTCTTGGGTAGTTTATTTATGTTGTGGCACATTGTTTATGATTCCAAACTTTGCCTTAGTGTTCTTTCTACAGAATGGTCACTATCTTCCTTAATTTTCTCTATGTAGGCTGCAGGCTGTTTGGAGCAGGGACTTCTCATTGTATTACTAAATCCATGTATCATGCCTGGCACAACCAGAGCTAATGTGGTTTGGGTAAGTAGATATATATTTAAAGCCACTCTTTAAAAAAAATTATTGTAAAGTGCTGCTGTTGAATTGGAGTGCTTCCAGTTAAAGCTACTTTTATGTCTGGTTATAGAGAAAATGTTTCACAGTGAAAGCTATAAATTTTCATTAACCAAAACCAACTAAATTTGCCACAGGCTTCTAACTTCAGCTTATTATGTGTCTTTGAAAGCAAAGTATTTCTGCTATTTGTTATTTGTAGAGACTGAACTGCAAAATCTATAACTGCTCAAGAAATTATGTAGATATGATGGATCCCAGAATAAGAAAGATGGAGGGAAGGAAAGTGCAAAATTTTGTCCTGAATAAACAGAATGTGAGAGAAGCCTTTGAACTATTTTAAGACTGTAGGATAACAGAGAAAAGTTCTATTTTTCGCCTTCTATGACTGATTTATGATGTGTTACTCTTGTGCTCATATTTTATAAAACCCAATTAAAGAAAATATCGGTTCGATTCCTGATATAGTCATGGCCAGTATTTTATCATAAATCCAGCTTTTTTTCAGGCTAGCCTCTGGTTAATGCAGATACAAAAAAGAAAAAAAAAAGCCACTATGGATCTAGGTGCAAGTTAACTTTTTCAAAATAATTTCTGATACAGATCTCTTTTCATTTGACTGTGACATTCTGTAGATATTCCTAATTAGCTCAACTTCTTTTTAAATTCAATTTTAGATCAAAATCAGAACAGTCAGTTGTTTGATTTCCCACTGGTGGGGAAGTGAGTGAGCAGCTCCGCGGTGCTGTGTTGCCAGCTGGGGTTAAAGCATGACAACTCATTATGTAAAGCTTTACTCCTAGAGCAGCTCTGAGAAGCACTGAGCACAGAGTCCAAAGGGAAATATTTGCTTTGTGCCTGAAGTATCTTTGAAATTTATTAAAAGCAGTTTTGCAATAGTTTGGAGGTAGTGCCTAGATCTGAACTTTGAGCCTTAATCCTCAATTCTGCCTTTTGGATTTCTCTTCCTCCTTTATGTTCCCTAAGTGGCCAGAGGTGATGGTGTCATGATCACATTGCTGTCTTAACCAAATTTATATTGTTTTATGAATAGGAACTTCACTGGCATTAATTAAAGATACGATCCCTGCTTGTTGAGAAGGAAAACAACCCAAGTGATTTTAGATTTACTAATCAAAATTTCAATCTCTGCTGTGAATAATTGACATGAGATCTAAATCTCTGTAAAGTAGCTGTAATTTATACTCATGAACAGGACAGAAGCTACAGCAATCTGGTAAGAATTTGCTTTGAGAAATTTCTTCAGGTTAGGGGCCTTCTTCATGATAACAGTTGTAAGATTTATTGTTACTTTAATTTAAAATTCCAGAAAACCTTTATATTTCAGGACAAATAAAATGTAACATGCATTGTCCTTAGGGACCATAGGAAGAAGAGACTGAACTGGGACTTATAAAAAATTTAAGAAACAAAAATAATCTCAGATGTTTTCCAGCACAGGTTAATAGATGTTAATCTTTGGTATTAAGTCTTGCATTATGTCTGAACCAGAGCAGAAGCTCACAACCTCCAGAAGAACATCACTTCCTTCTTTTTTCTGCTTGTTTGTCATCAGCATGTTCCTTCCTTCATCTTCTTCCTTTGGCTCAGGAACTCCTCTGACACCATGAGCTGATTCAGCTAAATCTGACTAAAGGAGCAGAAAACTACAGCCCTCCAAAGAAACCCCACCACAAAAACCCCAACCAACCAACCAACCAACCAACCAACCAACCAACCAACCAACCACACTAAACACTGCTCCCCCCCACCCCAAACCCTAATTTTTTTTTTTTCTGCTTAGTTGGAGAGTTGAATGATCTCACTAAAAGTCAAGTGAGTGGCAGAGACAGTGCAAGGATGAAAACATAATTGAAGAGGGACCTATTCTCTCCATGGGAAATTATATCTTGCTTCAGTTACAGGGCAGGAACTTCTGTTATTAAATTGAAAATCTAGGTGTAATCCTTTTTATTTTCTAGTAAGTCTCTACCTCTTGCAATTTAAAAACTTTTAAAACGTTACAATATGCATTTTTAAAAAACCATGTCAAATATTAATTTGTTACATTTACATGTTACATTTTTTTCTCTTTTTAGAAGACCATCAATACAAAAATCCAATCTTTGTGAATCATGTAATCTGGCAATGGCATCTTTGGTATCTGCTGCAATCTGAGAAATCTGTTCTATAGGTAGAACTGAACAATCTACTTTTCTTTAGCATATGCCTAATTTTATTATTTGAGTGATCTTGTTTAGGAATAAAATAGTCAGAATTTGAGCCTTGCAAACACAAAAAATTAGACATCTCAGGAAATGCCATGTTCCCATTTTTTTTTAATTAGTTCTCCTTCTAAAGATTTGACCTCTTAGTGACCAGTTCTGGTGATAGTTAGACCAGTCTGATTTCCATGTAACTGTCTGCACATACTTGACTTTTTCCTTTGACTGTGACAGTCTCCTACCTGCTATACTGCAGAGTCTGATGAAAATTCAGCTGCTGTGAGAAACATGTGGCACCAACACTCTGTGATGACTCAAGAGCTGGCAGGGAGCCCTACAATTTTGCTGAGTAAGTTTTTATTCCTGAGTTTGCAATTTAATGGCTTGTATTTTTGCTGGAAAAACTTATACTGTGATGTGAGAGTTAATATGGCTTGTTTTTAATTTTCACATTCTCCTACCTATGACTTTTTCTGTTGTTTTATGGTATCAGTCTAAAATAAGAGTTTAAAAACAATGGTCTTTTCAGAATCTGAGAATCTTTCACACACCTTTACTCTGAGTTGTTTCTTACAACTACATTGAATTGTAAAGCATAAAAGAAAGAACCTGTCTTTTTTTGTTATGATGATAATAGAAAATATTATGAAAAAAGAGCTATGCCTTGATATAAGTAGCAATTTTTGCTGGACTGAATTTCTGTCTCAAAATTCCCAAACCTTTCAGTCTTGAAAAAGGCAAATTTTTTTTGGTACCACTTGTAGAACCACTGCATTGTACAATAGGAAATAAAAAACAGATTTCACAAGGCTTTACATTTTTCTTTACAGAGATGCACTCAATTTTTATCTTAATCTTGAAATATTGTAACAACTCACAGGATTAGCTTAAAAAGACCTCAGTGTGCTGCTACCTCCACATTTGCAAACGAAACTTGAGAAACTCAACCTGGGAAACCTTTTTTTAATATAGTTCTGAGTATAGAGTTCATTACTGTCACTAAAACACTCAGATTTAGCTTGACTTAAATGTCAGAAAATATTATTCAGGTGTAGAAGACACCAAAGATCACATCTAACTGTTATATTGAATCTTAATTAGCAGGGAGACCATATAAAACTCAGAAGCTTCTGTGAACTAAGAAAACAACCCTGACATTCTCTGCTCAGTTCTGGATATTTGTTGCTGACTTTGATCTCCAGTGATAATCTCCAAAGACCCAGGGTTCTGACTTGCTTAAAAATTGGGTTTACTTTCAAACTTTGCTCTTAAGTCATTATTACCAAATAACTAGAGGGACTAGAACCTCATAAAAAGCATTTTATTTCCCATTACAAGAGTTAGAGTTCAGGCAACAACATTACATAAAGCAAAGCTTGTTTCTTCTCTGCAGCTCAGTTTATTTAGTGTTAAATAAATTCTGTGCATTGACACTGTGTCCTGTTTGGGTTTATAAGAATCAGCAGGTTTTGTGCAAGTCCATTATGTTTAGAAAATATCACAATATTTTTAAAAGATGCAATAACCAATTAGTTGGGAAAAGGCCTAATGCATCTTTGCTTGAGAAGACCACAGCCCACATCATGGACTCTTCTGGCAAGTAGGGAAAAAATAATTTTTTTCTTCTAGATTTTCTTCTTTGATATTTGTTCTTGGCAGGATTATTTCTAATTAGATTGTTCTTTTTCCCTGTCTCAGAAGGGACACATAAAGTGCATGAACAAGCAGACTTTGTAGCTCATGCAGCTAAGAAAGTGCACTGCCATGGCAGCTAAATTTGCATTTTTAAGAAGTCCATTGTCACAACTAATTACATAATTTCCCTTTGTGATGTGAGAATGCTATGGAAGCAATCTGTAAAAGACTCTGCATCAAACTTCAGATTATCTGGACTTTTATTATGGTTAAGTTAATGAATTTGCAGTGGGATCTTGAAAAATACTTCAGGTGTTCAGAAGCCTGAGGTGAATTTTATTTGAGAGGGCCACATTAAACATTCTCTTGTACTTTTCTTGTAATTTAATTGGCACCATATCACCTGTATTATTAAAGATTATTGGGATATCAGTATCTGTTTGTTTCTTCCTGACATTTCCATTGTTATGAAAAGCAAAGTTGAAATCTCATGTCAGAGAAGCTGGAAACTATGATTGTGTTGATATTTAAACACAAGCAAAGCAGCTCTAAGCCTGTTTTCTCATTTCTGCCTTGAATAAGTTAAAACCATTCCTGGTGTTTTCTGGACAAGATACCTGCCAAGATCAATGAACTAATACACAGATTTCTGTGACGTGCTGAAAAAGTAAATGCAGCAGGGAACCTTTCTGAATATTTGCAATGTTGCCATTGCTGTGCATTCTGTGGGAATGTTATGTGTGAGGACAAATGGGATCAACACTTGGATGCTGAAAGTGATGCTTGGAGAGGATGAGATAATTTAGCATGATGAAGTTGGGTTGCAAACCTTTTGGTTGGCTGCAGCACACAAACCCTGATTACTTTGTGTCACTGAAGCCTGTGTTTATGAGGATGTTGTGAGCAGGTTTCAGTCAGTGCTCAGCTGGCATTTTTTATCCATTTTTTAATCCATTTTTTAGAATGGAGCTGATACAAACTTGTAGTTTTCACTTTGTGGGATGTTCTGAATTCCATATTTTGTTTTCATCTCAGGATATAAATCAATGCACTTTCCAAAACAATTCTCAATGCAGCTTTGTTTAAACTGACACATTGCTGTCAAAAATGGTCTGTGATAGTCCAACATAATTTTTCCCACGACTACTTTGCTGTGTAGAACTTCATTCTGGTGTATTCTGGGAAACTTCAGGTATGTAACTATGTGTCCTCTGTCCTTTGGGAAACAGAGTTATACTGTTGTCACAAAACATACAGGACACTATGAACACTTTAAAGTTTTACTTCTGAAGTTTAGTAACAATCTTACCAATTTTACCTTTTGCTTTGGATTGTTTATGTTTTCCTGCATTTTGAACGACATACTCCATTTAATGGCTAAATTCCTTTATTTTCATAGCCTTTTTTTCACTGTTTTCAGGAAAATCATGTTGAGATGTAAATTTTAGACCGTGACTTCACTCTGATGAGTCTGCTTAATAACTGAAAGAAAAGAGATCCTGTCCCAGAACTCACCATCTCTGTGAAGTTGTTCTGTGGCTCTGTTTGACAGAGAATGGTCAGTCACACTGATTGTGTTAGATCTTGCCTGGATTTATAGGTTATCAGTTGCTGTCTGGGCAAATCTTTCTGCAAAACCTGCTGAAAACTGGTATTTGTTACATTGTCAGGTGCAGCTCTTCAGTGCTGTGGATGTGTCTTGAGGCCCAAACTTCACAAGCTTACCTAGATCAAAATTATTTTATATTTTCTTTTTAAAAATAATATTTTTTTAAAATGATCCTGTATAATTGGATAGTGTGACTTATTTTAACACTGGGAAATAGATAGAAAAAAAGAGAAAGTAGGTGCACTGACTTCTATGAAATTTGTGTTCCTAAGGCAATGACTTTTTTTTTTTTTTTTTATTGTGACTATTGATTATATTTTGGTTCTCATTGATAAATACTAAGGGAAAGGAAATAGTATGTGTTCATCTGGTGTACAGGAAGTGTGGTTTGACACAGCCAAGTGGGTTTTAGGTGGTAGATCCTACGAAATATAGGGCATATAATAATATGTTACATATAGACATATAGAAATACATGGAAACATGACTTTTCATTGCATTCATTGTTTTCCTACTATTGCATGATTAATTTTTTATTTTCTAATTTGTACCTTTTATACTGTTTCTAGATGAAGTCACTCTCTTGTAGTCTGTGGCTGTCAACTATTCCCTTCAAGAAGAGATTATTGACCATTTTTTGAGTTTACTGTTGGTGAAGAAGCCATTTAAAATAATTTTAGTAGGGTTGGCTAAAGTCCATAAGTGACATGATATTTGAGCTTTTTATCCTATTGAATTCAGGAGCTGAAAGTGACATAGTAATGAAAAGTCAGAAGGGGGAGAAGTGGATCAATATATTGCTAAATTCTTATTGAAATTCTCATGCTTAGACTGTTCTGGGCGGTTTTATTTCTGCTTAACATTTGCTGAGTAAAAGTCATTGCCCTAGAGAGGCAAGATTTATTGACACACAGAGATGAAAATGATTAGCTAAAAGGTTTCTGCACAAAGAGAATCAGAATCAGCTGAAGCACTACAGGGTGGCTCATATAGAGGAGGCTGAGTGATTTCAAATAAGTTATTAATGTTCAGAGCTGAAAGCTGAGGTTGTTAATATTACACCAATTGTTTATTCTTTGCTTCCTTTGCAGGGACCATAAAATTCTGAAAAATTTCAGCTATATATATATATATAAGCATATATATTCTATACACACACACACTTTGCTTTTTAGGGTTCATAAAGGCTTTATTATATTTCCATAGATTTATTTTCTAATTAAGTACATGGTTGTTTATTCATAGATACCAGCTTTGGAAGAATTGACTTTATGGAATGTTCCTGCAGTCCTGACAAAGGTAAAGCTCTGTGATAATATATCCTGGTTCATTAGGAATCATGCACACTCATTTTTTATTTGATTTCATATGCCACATACTCAGCATCTTGGTACACCCTATTTAGCTTTTCAAACATCTGAAAGATGTCAGCATGATTTGGCTTACAGTGCCCATGAGCCTGCCAGGAACACAAGGCAGAACTTCTGCTTTTTGGCCTAATGAAGAGCAGGTTTTGTCCTCAGACTTGACTTTCTCTTGACTTTGTACAGGCAGAGTATAGTAAGCCTGGAAAGTTTAATTGTCAGAAGATCAAATTGAATTACAGTGTGGTTCAGTGCTTTCAGAAGTCAAACATAGGGAAAAATTCATCTTCTAACTAGGTGGCATTCAAAAGAGTTTACTAATCTTACTAAGGCTACCTAAAATCCCAGTGTCACCACAGTTCTGGAGATAAGTGGGCACATTTTGCTTCCTTCATCCAGTTGCTGAATGGACAATCATCCACAGGACATCTGTGAAGTAAAACCTGCTGTGTCCTGCCCTGGTCTGCAGCACAAGTGCTGGGGTGGTTCTTCAGTCACAGGGCCTGGGAGAAGCAGAGAAGGTGCTGGAAGCTGTGCCTGGTGCCCTGAGTCAGAGCTGGCTTTGAGCAGGGAGACTGAGCAATCTCTCTGTTGAGTCCTGACCAAAGGACAGGGCTTTATTTATCTTGCTGTTTCTCCTCATTAAAGCTGGAACATTCTAAGCAAAAATTACTAAATAAAAAAGATTAAATACAACTCCAAATTCAGAGAAAATGAGATGAGAGATCACTGAACACCAGACAAACCTGGAAGTATTGAATAATTACATATACTGTTGCAGGCAATGTTGTATGAAATTTAATTCTAGGTTTCTCATAGGTTTTAAAGCTCTGAGCAGGTTTTATTTTGAAATAGAAATGATTAAATGTAATTTTTCAATAGTTTTACATGATTAATGTAACAGGCTGATTTTCCTTTGAGTACATCATAAATACCATTCACATTGGTGTGCTATATATGGAAAGTTTTATTGCTGCAGCACTTTATGAAATTATTCTTTGGGAAATTATAGATATTCAATGAATAATTCAAGGGAAAGAATAAAACAAAATCTAATAAACTCTGCGTATGACTGAACTTTGACATTATTACAGTAAATGTGTATACACAAACCTCGCTGTTATTGTGGAAATATGATCTGAGTAGAGACTGACTTTTGTGAGAAGAGATGTTTCCACACTTTAATTATCAGAGTAGAAAAATGACAATTATTAACCAATTGATAATCTGAACACCAATCATGCTTTCTTCTCTTTCCAGAGAAGTGAAAAGCAAAGGATATAAAAGATAAACTGTTGAGGAAATACTGGAATTTTGCCTAGGGTTCCAAGAATTATAACATTTTCTGTAAGTCTAAAATACTCCTGTAAATCAGAAAATTGAAAACCTTGCAGAAAGTAATGTTTTAGAGGATTATATCAAAAAGTGCCTGTACCCTTTTCTCCCTTCATTACTTTGGGGAAACTACAGGGGTGAGACACAGGTGGTTACAACAGGTAGGGAGTGGCAGTGAGGGGAATGGTGTGGTCTTGACTAAACTGGGAAAAACTGGGGCAAGTGATGAGAGAGACTGAGCAGGTACCATCTTGGTGCTTTTTTTGTGTACAAAAACCAATTACCTGCCCATACTTAATTACTGGGCAAGGAAAATAGTTCATAAGCTCTTTAACATGTGCTTTAGGCTGGTGTGAATTGTCCCAGCCATGAACATGCTGTTTAAATCCTTACAGGAGCTTTGGGTAACTGGAAAATGCACAGAAGGTGACCCCAAAAGCCTCTCACATGTTTTTGCAGTCTCACCATCCTAAAGGACAATGGAGCAGGGCAAGAGGGGGGCATTTCCTTCTCAAAAGGGTTAAAGCTGATTTAGCACCACACTCTTGCTCTTATGTGCCCTCAGGATTTTGTGCTCTCTCCCTCCTCCCTGCGCAGGAGTCCTGTAGAGCTTGACCCCCTGGCTTAGCATAGAGGGGATATGGATGTCTGCAGTAGCTTCATGTTATACACTGACTTTAGAGACATTTTTAGGCAAAACCCCCATCATTTCAATGGTCCTTGAGCCTGGGAAAAGGACAGAGTCCAAATCAAGCCCACCCTGTATTTCAAACAGATACAGCAGTTTCAGACATTTATCAGGAAAATAAAGTCCTGTAGCTCCCCTCCAAGAAATTTCCTACAAATATGTGAAATGTCCCTGTTTTATGTGCTGTATAACAGGACAGCACTTCTTTAGTGACTGTAAATCAAAGTAACACCATGGATTTTAAGAGCAGTATATGAACTTATTCCAACTGGGCTTGTGAGTAGCTTCAGTGGTCCCAAGGAGATTTATGTTAACTGGAAGATCTGATCCACTGATTTCAGTGGAGCTGTCCAACTCTCTCCAGGTGGAGAGGTGCCTACATCCCACCACTATTTCTTTCAAATTTGTTAAACTAAAGAAAGTGATGACAAGACAGAAAAAAAATTATGAGTTTGATATGTTGATGGCTGTCATGTCCTTAAGCTGAATGGATCTTTAGGTATGAACTGAGACTTGCTTTTTCCCCACTGTAGAACCCCAGCTGTTCACTTTGTCCCTAACTTAAATCAAATGAACAATCTGACTGCACCTGAACCAGACATATCCCATGGGACTGTGATGCTACTGAAGTTCCTCCACTGAAAAAAATTTGCAAAGTTCTCTAAAAATAATGTAAATGAGAATAGGATCAAGTATTTTTCTTGTGGTGTTTGCTTGCATTAGAAAAGGGGAAAAAAAAGGGAATGGTGAAAAAACAGGTAACAAGTGTTCGCATTTGCCTGGAAAAGGCACTAGTGCTTTTTTGGAATTGCCTCCTGATTTGTTATGAAACTCTAAATTTTTAATTTTAGTTCAGTTTCATGACTAATCACAGTTTGACAAATATGGAAATTCGTAAGTGTGGGGGAATTGATATGCAGTAGTTTTTGTTCTTTCCCCTGTTCAGTTTGAGGATCTGCATGTTGATGTATTTATTTTGAATTAATGTTTATTTCAGTAAGCTGAGGGATTTGTTATGATTATTATGAAAGGGCCTGGTATATATGTAAATGAAATGCAGAGAAGTAGGAGAAAGGAACTAATTTGCTATTGGAATTTGAGGATAAGTTATCTTGATCAAAGCTTCTAGATAAATATTATTCCACATTGCAAACCTGTTTCCTTCTTGTCTTAATGAATCCTTGTATTGTAAATTTGTGTAAGCGAAATTGATTTGGAACACCAACATTAGTTTAGTCAGTCAGTTTATATGTTACTGGAATATTTTCAGTTACAAGCAGGGTAACAAATGTCCACCTTATTTTTAAGGAATTTAGGGAAACAATATTCTTGTCAATGTGTGGTGACTGAGTTTTAAAGTGCAACTAATCTTTTTTTCAATTTATTTTGCTTGCAAGGATTTTACTTAACTAAACTGCGTGGAAACATGGTTTTAGAAGACTTGGTTCTTTAGATATAATACAGGATACTTCTTTTTTGTTTGAAGAAAACTTGTTTCAATGTGAGTTACTTTGATACTTGCAGTGTAAACAGCACACAGTGGGATCAGTTATCAAAAAGGTGACTTTCTAATGCAAGTTAAAGGCTGAAATGATGAATTTCACATCTGTTAAATAGACTTAATTTCTGGTGACATTATAAACTGAAAAGGGCAACAAGCTCCTTCTTCATCACACACAGATCTCTCCAAAGAGATTACAATTTAAAATGTTCGGAATTGAAGGTAAAACTGCTGAATAGTCTGAAGAATGCAAGCTATCCTGTTAGGGGAATATTTGCTGACTTTTTAGGATTTTGGTTCACTTTCTTGACAGATATTGCTGGATGCAGTTTTACAGTTGTAGAGATGGGTTCTTGGAGCAGATACTTGGTATCAGTAAATACCTGCAGTAACTTGCATTATATGACTCCTGGTAAGAGTCAATCTCATGTTCTGATATGTTCATCCACTGTGTGGTTGAAGGATATGAACATGAAAAACATACATTAGTCATAATTTATTAATTAATTACAGATTAATATGTCCTATGAAGGACACAGTGAAATTTCTTACCTCAGGATGGGCTGTGGAATTATTATCAGTGTACACTCTGAAGGAAGCATTGACAAGTTATAGCTGAATCCATTACATTTATACATCTCTGTCCAAGGTGCAAGAAAAAATCTGCAGAATCAAGTTTGTAATGAAACTTTTCTGAGCATGGTGAAATACCTGCAGGTTTGATGCATTCTGTAACAACTGCTTTGCAACAGGACTTCCTAGTGCTGTATGTTTTCTTTTCACGGTAATCTGCCCCATCTGTTTCACAGATACATTTTTAGTCCATTTCCCTCCAAACCCCTTTTCTCTCTTCAAGGTAGTGATCATATATCTACTATTTGTACTTATCTGATGAGTCTGTTATAGTACTCATCGAATCATTTCCCTTTCTTTTTATTGCTTGTGAATGATGAGATATATTCTAACTTTACAGCTAAAATTAATTTGGGAGATTGTTTTTATAGCTGATTATTTTTATATTCATTTCTGAACTATAATTCATGTGCTACTAGTTAAAATACTTTGTCATGGATACACTTCCAAGACTTTAGTTTAGTGATGTTTTCAAAGACATTACAATTGCTCCAAAGCTTTCTAGCAGAAAAATACACTTATGGAATAGGCCTAGGCCATTTGTTTATCATGTGGTTTTCATAATCTCTACCAGCTCTGGTCTACTTTTTCAGAGAAGTTTTTTCTCTTCCAAAAAGACACTATTTGTTTTATGTAAGAGCCAGCTCTGGACTCTGAACCACTGCAAATTAGCAAGGTGGCATCTGTGGAGCAACCACACATCCTCCTCAGTGCATTCCTCTCAACTGTTACCATTTCTCTGAACCTGAGGAAGCAGAGGTCAGGAAAACATGGCTGTAAAGGCACCACGCCTTGACCCTTCTAGAACTGCACAACACCTGAGAAGCATAACAAGAATTTATAGTATAAATGTACTTTTTGTAACATCTCTACTAAATAAAAATACGCTGCAAAGTCAGAGGGAAGGAAAGGACAGAAAGAAGTACTCAACTTACAGAGGCTGACTTGTTTTCCAGAATTGTTATTTTGTAGTCCTTCTACTTCATCTGACAATTTTCTTCTGAGTTATAACATAACTGTCCATCCTCAGAATTCCTGTTGTAAATAACATAATTGATTACCATTCAGGAAAGTGTGATTTCTTCTTAACTTATATTCTAAAGGGCTCAGTCATGGGCCTTGCTCTGGCACAAAACTGGCTTCAAGCTGCTTTGAAGATTGCAGCACAATCCCAACATTTTGAAAACAATATTCTAATATCACTTACAAGAATGCACTGAGATCTTTGTTCCTTTTGAGAGAGGCAATGTCACCAATGGGAAAATTTGAGGGGGCCAAATCTTTAGCATTGTAATTCTTTGATAATCTCTTCCTTCCATTTTTTTTCTTCTCCTGAGGTTATTAATTCTGTCTTTTACCTTACACTTGTGCCCTGTACATTTTAATTAAAATCCTTTTCCCAGAATAGAAGGGAAATGATAAGTATGAAATTTTAATGAAATGCTTATTTTTATGAAATATTTATACTTTTTCATTCTAGTAAACATTTTTCATTGTCATTTTGGGACAGCAGGTGCTTGAAGGGCTTTTGTTTTGTATTTTCAATGAAAGTTTGATGTTATTTGATGTAAATATCTTCTGACAAGCTAAGGGTATCACT